CACACACACACACACACACACACACACACACACACACACACACACACACAAGCAAGCAAGCAAACCATTAAGAGAGAAAGAAAGAAAAATACTGGAGAACATTCCATAAGACAACTGATTCTATGCTTTTCAACATTGTCAAGGTCACCAAATACCGTGTGAGACACGGCCACATTCTAGAGGATTCTAAGAAGACTAGAAACTGAATGTAAACTGTCACCCTAGAAGAGATTCTGCAGCTGAAAATAACATCAAGTAACCACTAAGAAAATCTGAGCTAAGTATGGACTTTAATTAGTAAGAGTAAAACAAAAAAAAGTTTCTGTGTAGGACTCTGGAAAGTGATTTACATCTATTATTTTGCTTTTACTTACTTCTCTCTTACTTCTCTGTTAAGTGGTCTCATTTCTATTTCACAGATGAGTACAATGAGAATAAGAAAATATGTGACTACTCTGCCCAAGATATTGGAGTTGGCAATTGATGGAGTTGAAGGCGAAATGAGTGTGAATTTTTTCTAAGAGCTTTAGCAGTTTCAACTCATTCATTTCCACAAACCTGGAAAGTGAGCAGCTATTAGCACCTCCCTTATAGGGAACGAAACTGAAGGACACAGAAGGTAAATGAGTGATTCAAGAGCTGCACAGCTGGCCAATGGCTGAGCCAAAATTTAAGCCCACGGTCTGGCTGCAGAAATCGCCCATATTCCTGTGTGTCACTGCTCCTCAAACAAATCAGGAACAACTGATATTTTTATGCTTTCTACCCTCAGTTAAATAACTTCAACATCTCTTGGACATTATAAAAAAAATCTATCATCACAATTGTTTCCAGAGATTGATATAGGACCAGGGAAGGAACAGGAGGGGAGGGGGTGGGACAATGGTAACACAGTATAATAGGGGTTAGAGACACTGAAATGTATACAGTGTATAAGCTTTATGTAAAAAAGCAGGAGCTAAAATCAAATACAGGTTGAGTGTCTTCTTGGGACCACAGGTATTTCTGATTTCAGACATTTTTTCAGAGTTTGGAGTATTTGCATATATGTAATGAGATATCTCAGGGATGGGATCCAAGTCTAAACACCAAATTTGTTTAAGTTTCATATATGTTTTATACACATTGCCTGGAGGTTGCTTTATACAATGTTTTTAGTGCACCTGCTTTTTGAATACAACCTGTTGTTACATGAGCTCAGGTGTGGATTTTTCCCCCTCACTTGGGCGATAAGTGGGTACTCAAAAAAAGGTTTTGGATTTTAGAGTATTTTTAATTTCTAGATTAGGAATGCTCATGGTGGACTGGTTAATGCCACAAATGAACTTGCCTTGAAATATATCCATTGAGAGAAGATAGACTGGAAGATGGCCATGTGGCTAGATATGAAATAATGAAACTACAGTAAAATATTACTTGTGCAATCTAGGCGGCTGATTGGCAGGTGACCACTCTACAACTTTTTTAGTTTTTGATACATTTGAGATTTTTCATAATCAATGATTGGGATATCTCATGAATATGGTTGTAGGCTCATCCTAGAAGGGGTTATTTGCTCCAAATGTATGTTTATCTCTTCTTTCTTCATTCCCGTTAATAAAAAATTAGGTTGCTGATTTCTCATTTTAACCTGTATTAAAAAACTTCCCTCCCTCAAAGTGAAAAAAAATGACTTTGGCCAATGTGTTGCAATTAGGCAACAACAGACCAGAGGCCAGTGTTTATTAATTAGTGAAAGGCTATATAGGACATGCACTCTTGACTCCACACAGCTTTCTATTTCATTTTGGCCTTCAAGTCATTTCTGTGGCTTGGATGGATGTCAACACTTGTATTTACCATGATCAAAGACACATCATTACTAATCCAGTCAATACACATTTTAGTTAAGTGGCACATTTATAATGTATCTAATTCACATACAATTTCCAGGCGCTCAGTTATTTACTTTACCTTCAATTCTTAATTGGCCTAGGCCAAGTAAATAAGATATTTATTATTTAGAATAGTGCTTGACTGACTGATTTAGAGCTAAGGTCTTGCTATGTAGTACAATAGATCCTCAGACTTGTGATCCTTAATATTACTTTTTTTCCCCTTGAATTGGGAGCTAATGAGTTGATGTAGGGAATTTTATGTCTCTTCTGGTTCAAACATCAGTTTAAAAGGTAATGTTGTTTGGACATTCACCTTTTATAAAAGTTAAAATATATTCCAGAGCACCATAAGTATGCACCAGCCTTGGATTTAGATGCTTGACAAATTCATTAGCACCAGCAAATGCTCAACCTGTCTTCAGTGTTTCCCTGGTATTCTACCAGCAAATCAATGTCCTTGGCAAGTGCTGCAGGATTAAAGTGTTTTGAGTTCTGCCAACATGATGTCTTCAAGGGTGACAGCCAACTCCATTTACCTTCAGAGAAAGGCACCAGGGCATGAGGAGCGGCACATCAGAAACCGTTTTCTAACTAGAATACAACCAAGATGCAGGCCAAAAAACCCCAAAACTTTTGCTTTGGAGAGAAAGAAAGGCTTACAGTTCAGCCTGATGTGTGATTACATATCACAAACTCCTGGCCTATCAAGTCCACTTGGTGGACCCCTCTCTGAAACAATTAAATTCTCCTGGGGTTCCCTTTGCCTTCAAGACTGTGATACCCTACAACATTATGAAGCTGTAACTTGACCAAGGTACCAACTCTGACTTCAGACAAATTGCTTCTTATTCTTGAATGTAAAATGTACATAAAATGAGGATTCAAGGGTTAAGATACCCCAAAGCACTTTGAAGAGTATTGCCATATGCTAAGTACAATTTTAGCATATGCTATTACTGAAAAAGAGCATGATAGCTGATGAGTACTCAGTGATTCCAAAGTTACTGGTCCCGTTTCAGTGATCTTTCCGACACACTATCCTTTACCTGCTTCCCATCCCAAGTCTGTTCCTCTAAGACTTCCACTTATTGCAGGGTGGTTAAGGCTAGGTCAGCAGCAGCAGAGATGCTAGGTAGTTTAGAAATAGAAGCTGGGCACTGGTGGTCCACTTGTAATCCTAGCTAATCTAAGAGGTTGAGATCTGACGATCATGGTTTGAAGCTAGCTTGGGCAGACGAATCCAAGAGATTCTTTTTTTTTGGGGGGGGGTCCGGTTGTGGGGCCTGAACTCTGGGCCTGGGCGCTGTCCCTCAGCTCAAGGCTAGCGCTCTACCACTTGAGCCACAGCACCACTTCTGGCTTTTTTCTTTTTGCTTATGTGGTGCTGAGGAATGGAATCCAGGGTCTCAGGCATGCAAGGCAAGCGCTCTACCACTGAGCCAACTTCCCAGCCCCAAATCCAAGAGATTCTTATCTCCAACTATCTACCAGAAAGCTGAAAGTGAAGCTCTGGGTCAAATGGTAGAATGCTCACCTGGAGTGAAAAAGCTAAAGGACAGCAACCAGGCACTGAATTCAAGCTACACAACGTTAAATCAGATAGAATTAGTTTAGTTAGTCTAGAAAATCACTTTCAAGGCTAAATGCATAGCCAACTGTTTGTTCCACTTCTCCTTTTTATCAAGGGGTTTTCCCATGCAGATTTTATTACCTAGCTTGCTTCACTTCCTCTCTTTCCTGGCATTACAAATCTTTCCATCTTCAATTCGGTCTCACCTTATTATTGAATTTTTTTAAAAAAGGTATCCAGGTGCAGGTTGCTCAAGCCTGAAACCCTAGCTACTCAGGAAGTTTGAGAACTAAAGATCAAGGTTCAGAGCCAGCCTAGGCAAAAAAAGTCAGTGAGATTCCAATTAACCACCAAAAAAGCTGAAAGTTGAGCTGTGGTTAAAGTGATAGAGTGGCAACTCTGAGTGAAAAAGCCAAGAGACAGCCTAGGCCCTGAG